AGTTAGGTTTAGGGTTAGGTTTAGGGTTAGGTTTAGCGTTAGAGTTAGGTTTAGGGTTAGGTTTAGGGTTAGGTTTAGAGTACTAAGTGCTTGGGAATGCGCGATTTTGCCCTCCGCGATTATGTCATCGCGGTAGGGTCGCGTTTTTCCCTAGCGCTTAGAACGGCACAAATTAGTCTTCGCGCTTATGTCTCCACGCAGAAGGGCTTCGCGGATTTGTGGTGGAACCATTTATCTCAAGCAGCACTGTCTTGCTGCTGTGCATCTCAGGACAAACACTTTCGACTGCAGCTTATTGACAAACAGCTGGGTGGGAGTAGGTTGGATCTTGGTTTGATCCTTCACACTCAGTTCTACAGAAGAGGCCATAGATGAGAAAGGCTTGTGGAAATCTAGAGTGACTTAAGAGTTTAGGTCACTCATGAATCTTGAGACATAGAGACCATAGCATGTGGAAGGTCCCAGGTTTACTCCTAAGCATGTGCCAGGCATAGAAGGTGATGGAAGGTGATGGAGAAAGCCTTTGCCACCATGCCTGGATAGTGGTACCAGTTACAGCAGAATCAAGGATAGGCTTCCTATGCATTGATGAACTCCAGCTACCATTACCTGGAATCATCCCCACCAATGGTAAAAGTGACTGTGGTTGGCAAAGAAAGGTAGTGGCTGTTCTCCAAGCATTTTGGTCAGCAGCTCCCATAGTCGTTCGGAATTTGCCATGGCGGCTGATGCTGATGGGATTCCAAAGCCAAAATCTATGGTGGGCACTCAGATGTAACTTCCTCCTTTATTCATAACAGCTCAGACCAGGAACATTTTTAAAGAAAACATTTATTTACACATTTCAGCAAGTACAAAGTATTATACATGGATTAACCCCAACTTTCCTTAGTATTTGTTTTAATTATCAGTATAATTATTATTAGTATTATGAAACATAAGGCGCTTTCTCTGTAATAGGTTTGGGACAACAGGCATGCCAAGGATGCCAAGGATGCTTTTAAAACTAATTTTATTTTCTTTTCTTTCTTTCTTTCTTTTTCCTTCCTTCCTTCCCCTCTTTCATCTCCCTCAACAACCCCACTCTACATTAATGTTCATTTTCCTGTCAGAGAGGGAGAGGTTGGGGTTTCTGTGAAAAAGGAGCCCTTATTACCATGTTGAATAAATTACCGATAGGGTTTGCCTGGGGACAGCTGGGGGCGGCTTGCTTTTTCACTGCAGCAGGTTTATCCTTATATATATATATATTCCTTTCCAGATTGACTTCTAGGGGGCAGGATAGTCAGATGATTGACCATCCAAGGTAAAGGCCAGCCTCGGCCAATAATTATCCCCCCCTTCTCTCTCTCACACACACACAGATCACTCACACCAGCAAACACCCATACACACTTCTTTTTAGTGTTTGTTCTGGTCTCCATATAAATAACCAAGATCCAGTCTTTCTCTCCCCCTGCCTCCCTATTAACAGTGCTCAGCATCTTGGTGCATTAAATAAATTAAACTATTCACATTTCTTACAAATAATAATTATAATAATATTTTTTTTTAAAAAAGGTGACTCTCTATTTCTTCTTAGGTATTCCTCCCCAATGGATCCTAAGCGACAGAACTGCCAGGCCTCGGGTGAAAACAGGCCTTCGTGGGGGCATCCAGCGAAGTCTTCCCCCCACATTGAAACCTGCCCCCCCCAGCAAACCCCGACGGAGGAGGAAGAGGATCGAGGGGGGGGGGGGTCTCCGCTTTCTTCTTAGCAGCCCAAAAGCTCCTCCCCACCCCCGGGGGGGGGGGCAAAGGTCCGATGGCCAAGTTTCTACGACGGGAGAAAGTCGGGCAAAAGCAGCGACTCCTGTCCTTCACCAGCCTTGGAGAAGTTCGCTCTGGTTGTCGGGGAAGTCTGGAGCTGGGAGGGGCGCGGCGGCCGGGCTCCGTCCAAACTGCCGGAGGGGCGAGGATGGAGGTCTCGGCCCGAGAGAACCGCCCCACGCCCGCAATCCTCGCAGCCGCGCCGGGGACGCGCCGACAGCTCCCGCCCGGGTCCGAGCCCAGCCGGGCAGAGGCGAGACGGGGGTGTGAAACGCGGCTTGACTCGTTGGCCTCTTCCCCTTCCACAAGGCGCCCCCCGTTCACACGTTCCCTTGCGGTTCGGGTCATGCGGGGAGAGGCGGAGGACGGGGCCGCTTTGCCTCTCCTTCCCGGACACCCCTCCGCCCGGACGACCCTCTTTACACCAAAGAAGTGACGGGGGGGATCTTGGCGGCTTCCTCTTCCCAAGGCTGGAGGTTCTGGAGCGCGAAGAGCGAGGAGTTGTGCAGGCAAAGCGGGTCGGGCTGGATCGATTCGTTCAGCGACTTCTGGAAGGCGTCGTGCTGGAGTTGCAGCATCAGCCGGCTCGCCTGTTGCCGCTCGGCTTCCCGCTCCTCCGCCGTCTGCCTCCTGCGGACGCCAAGCACAGAGATCAGGCTCACCGCCCCGGCTGGCCAGTCGCCCACCAGCCCTGCATTCTCCCTCCCTCCCTCCCACCCAACCTGCCAGTCTGGCCCGGTCTTCAACTTGCGCCCCCATCAGCCCCCATCCGATCAAAGGGCCCGGCCAGCGGGGGGACTGAAAACGAGGAGGAGGAAGAGGAGGAGGAGGAGGAGGAGGAGGAGGAGGACGAAGAAGAAGAAGAAGAAGAAGAAGAAGAAGAAGAAGAAGAAGAAGAAGAAGAAGACGACGACGACGAAAAGGAAGAGGACGAGGAGGAAGAAGAAAAGGAAGAGGGGGAGGAAGAGGAGGAGGAAGAAGAAAAGGAAGAGGAGGAGGAAGAAGAAGAGGAGGAGGAGGAGGAAGAAGAAGAAAAGGAGGAGGAAGAGGAGGTGAAGGAGGAAGGGGAGGAGGAGGAGGAGGAGGAGGAGGAGGAAGGAGAAAACTCATGATGGGTAGATGTTACCCCCCACCCCAATTCCCGAGGTTGGGGGGAGAAAGGGCACCGTGGCGGGCTACAGGGGGGTCGACGACTTCTCATTAGGTCAGTGGGGCTCAATCGTCGAAAAGGGGATCGAGCCGCAGGAGACCCTCGTAGTTACGGCCACCGGGAGCTCCGCCTGGTGTTGGGGGGGGGGGCGATGATCGGT